CAGTTTTTCACATTGCTTTGTTACCTTCAGAATGGAAAGTTTGTGCTTCTTTCGTTAAATTTATTCCTAAGTACTTAACTCTTTTTAATGCTATTATAAATGAAATTGGTTGCTGAACTTAATTTTCACATTGTTCATGGCTAGTGTATAAAAATATAACTGATTTTTTATATTGATTTTATACCCTAGAATCTTGTTGAATTTATTACCTCTAATATTTTTAAGTGGATTCCTTATAACTTTTCTCTATACAAGTTAATGGCATCTTCAAATAGATAGAGTTTTAATTATTCTTTTTAAATTTGGATGTCTTTTCTTTCTTTTTCTTGCCAGTTGTTCTGTCTAGAGCCTCTAATACAATTACAATGTTCAAAAGCGGCAAGAATAAAATGCTGCCCTGGCTGGGTAGCTCAGTTGTTTAGAGAGTGTTGTCCCCATTATGTCAAGGTTGGGGGTTTAATCCCCAGTCAGGGCACAAAAACGAATCAACCAATGAATGCATAAATAATTGTAACAACAAATGGATGTTTTTTTCTCTCTCTCCCTTACTCTCTCAAATCAATCAATATAAAATAACAATAAAAAAGAATGAATGCACTTGTCTTGTTCTTGATCTTAGAAGGAAAGCATTTAGTCTTTCACCATGAAGTGTAATGTTAATTGTGGGTTTTTCATAGATAACTTTTTATCAGGGTATTCATTCCTATTTGTTTTTATCATGAAAGATAAAGATTCTGTCCAATGATTTTCAGCATCTACTGAGATGATCACTGGTCTTGGCCTTTATTTTATTGATAGGATTATTACATTACTTGATTTTTAAGAATGTAAACTAACCTTGCATTCTGTGATAAATCCCATCTGGTCATAGTGTTTTTATATGTTGCTACATTTAACAGTATTTTATTGATGATTTGTAGCTATATTCATATGAGATATTGATCTGCAGTTTTCTTGTAGTACCTTTTTCTGGCTTTGGAATCAAGGTAAAACTGGCCTCCAATTTTATTTTTGGAAAGGATTTGTGAAGAACTGGTATTAAGTCTTCTTTAAATGTTTGGTTACTAATGGATCTATTTATTTATTATTGGTCTATTTGCATTTTCTATGTCTTCTTAAGTCAGTTTCAATAATTTTTGTCTTTTTAGGACGTTAGACCATTTTGTTTAAGTTATTGTATTTGTTGGCATATATTTGTTCATAGCATTCACCTATAATCCTTTGTGTTTCTGTAAAGTCAGTAGTAATGTCCTCCCTTTCATTTCTGATTTTAGTAATTTGATTCTTCTCCCTTTTATCTTTATCAATTTAGCTAAAGGTTTATCAGTTTTGTTCTTTTCAAAGAACCAACTTATAATTTCACTGAAATTCTGTATTGTCTTTTTTATTTTCTTTCTTATTTCATAATAAAGGTTTTCCAGCTACAGAGTTCCCTCTAAGTAGTACTTCAGCTGCAGCCTTTAATTCTGGTGTGGTGTATTTTTGCTTTCATTCACCTCACAGTACTTTCTAATTTCCTTTGTGACTTCTTCTTTTATCCACTGGTTATTTATGAGTGTGGTAATTTCTACATATTTGTGAATTTCCCAAATTTGTTAATGATTTCAAATTTCAGTCCAATGTGTTTGGAGGACATTGTAGGATTTCAATCCTTTATATTAATTAAACCTTGTTTTATGGCCAAGCATAGGTCTAGCCTAAGGTTCATATGCTATTGGGAAGAATACATATTCTATTGTTGGGTGAAGTGTTCTGTAGATGTCTACTAGGTCTTTCTGTTTATACTACTCAAGTAATTTATTTCCTTGTTATCTTCCTATTTGTTCTGTCCATTATTGAAAGTTGGGTACTGAAGTCTCAAACTATTAATACTGAATTGTCTTTTTTTCTCTTTTCAATTTGGATAGTTTTTGCTTCATATATTTTGGGGCTCTACTGTTACATGCAATTATGTGTATAACTGTTGTATCTTTTTGATGGATTGACCTTTATATCCTCATAAAAATTTTCTCTTTGTTTCTAGAAACATAACTTAAGATGATATAGAATATAACAAGAAAATTTACATTAGAAGTAAACAAGAAATTTGTTCATTGAAAATTTAGGGAACAGTGCTTCAACCATGACCCAGAATTCTTGAGGTCTTTAACTAAGGAAGGTGTTCGCTTATCCAAAAACTTCTCCTCTGATCTAATCTAAAGGTAAATTCCTTTGCCTTTTTTTTCAGGTTAGAATCGTTGGTAGTTTTACTCGTGCTCTATTCTACCACCTCTCCCTCTCCCACTCCGTAAAATCCTATTTTTGTAATGTTTACTAGCTAGTTCTAAATTTTTAAGACTTTAGCATACTCAATACCACAATATGTGATTTAGACCTAATTCTTAATGATGGCTTTAATGATGAGACTTATTATAATTATATGAAGATTCAATTATCTTGTAGCCAATGTTTCCAGAATCCTAGCACCAAGACCCTGTCACTATTTAAGAGATGATTTATATAGTCTAATTCCAAACTATGATCAATAGTATCAGATTTAAAGATTACATGTTCCACTTATTTTATCAGATTATACATAGTACTTATAGTTATGACCTGTAAACCCTGTATGCAATAGCAGTTTATTTTCACTAGTGGAATTCATCAAAGGGTGACCTGATAGTGAGACAGCTTTTTCATAATGGGCCCTTGAAAATCTCTATTTACAAGTCTTTCTCTCTGTCCATTCAATGTCTCCAGAGTTTTTAACTTTGTATCAGAAAATATATGTCTGGTTGACAGGCATTCTGCAAACAGGGTTAGAGAAGGGAGCTAGGGATTGCATCTTTCAGTATGTAAACTTACATTTAGTCCCTGGCTACCAGATTTCTTGGAGATAAGCAGAATAGTAATACTCTTAGATTTCAATAATCAATAGGTACATTTCCACTTAATCACTTTATCGATAGACTGATAAACCTATCTTTTGCTGTGCCAGGTATTCCTGAATCTGTAACTCTTCAGTACAATTTCTACAGGAAATAAGCTTCCATTCTCCTTTGCAAAATGTAGGCGTGGTAGTTGAGTATACTATGTGGAATGGAAGACTAGATCTGTGAGTTTTACAACTTCTTTCAATAATTTTTCCAACATGCAAACAAAATATTTTTCTATTTAGGCAGATTCATTGTGAAATTAAAATGCAACTGGGAAAAAACCTTCCCAAATTAAACGTTTAATTCCATAAAAATACATAAATCTACATGATTTAATAAGGTTCAACAATGTAGTCCAAAGTTATAAGAAAACTTTGTAATAAGCTAGTATTTTGCAAAACTGGGAGGGAGCTAGGTTATAAGTAAAAAGTAGAGAGCCATGATGAAACATTACATTTTAGTGCCAATATTCAGATGGAATATTCTCATATGATATTTGAAATAGAAAAGTATTCCCATGCATGTAAAAGTTTTTTTTTATTTTTTTCTTAATCCTCACCCGAGGATATTTTTTCAATTGATTTTTAGAGAGAGTGGAGGGAGGGAGGGAGAGAAACAAAGAAAGAAACATTGATGAAAGAGACACACATCGATTGGTTGCTTTCTGCAGGTGCTCTATCAGGACCAGGGACCGAGCCTGCAACTGAGGTATGTGCCCCTGACTGTAATCGAACCCAAGACTCTTCATTCCACGGGCCAATGCTCCAACCACTGAGCAAAACCAGCCAGGGCCACCCATACAACAGTTTTTAAAAATTATTTGAAAACATGACACAGCTACAGATTACTTCATAGTTTTCATAACTTCAGCAAAAATAAGCACAATTAGAGTTAACTTATTTTTTCCCACAAAGTATTATTTGTAACTTTAAAAAATTTTAGGCATCCACTCTAGCTTTTTATTAGGACATGTCAAAACAGAACACTGACTATTAATCACAGGTTTCTGGTGTTTAAGATTCTATATATGAGTGATGCCATGTGGTATTTGTTTTTAGCTTAGTTCTCTTTAAGAAGAGGAAGAAGAAAAAGGTAAAGATACAAATTATGAACAACAAATACACATCTATCAACAAGTGAATCTAAGAATCAAGTGAATAAATAATCTGGTGATCATAATAGAATCAGGGACATCGAAAGGGAATGGACTATTCTTGGGGGGGAAAGAGGTGTGGGAGATGCGGGAAGAGACTGGACAAAAATCGTGCACCTATGGATGAGGACAGTGGGTGGGGAGTGAGGGTGGATGGTGGGGCGGGAACTGGGAGGAGGGGAGTTATGGGGGGAAAAAAGAGGAACAAATGTAATAATCTGAACAATAAAGATTTAATTTAAAAAAAAATTAAAAAATTTAAAAAAAAGGACCAATAAACTGGTATATGAAATAAACCACTTTGTTCTTGGTCTATAAACAATTGTGCCGTAAAATCAGAGCTATTACAATAATTTTCTTTTAATAACACTGATTATATACTTTTCAACACCAGTTTATCAAGTGGAGAGAAAAAAAGGGAGTCCCCCCTCAACCCCAAGAAACATTTTCAGTTCTAGAAAATGATTCTACCAAATAACACTGCAATAAGCGGGCCATTGTCTGGAATTTAGAATGAGTCTTTGTTAGATAATTAGGAGCCATTATTACTTAAAGTAAGAATGTGTCTTTTTTCACAAGAAACTTTTATTTCCTTTTAAAAAAATTATTCACTGAGGGCTCTGGTTAGAGTCTGATTCCCTGTCAAAGACTTGTAGCAGGGTTGCAAGTTCTATCCCTGGCCACAGTTGGGGGTACCAATTGATGTGTCTCTCTCACACAGATGTTTTTCACTCTCTCTCTCCTCCCACCTCCATCTATCCCTTCCACTCTCTCTAAAAACCAATAAAAAGAATACCCTTAGATGAGGATTAATAAAATAAAACAAATAGCCAAAAAGTCATTTAGATAATTATTCTTGCTATATAATTAGTGATTATGTAACTTTAGAAAGTGTACTTTATCCAACTGAGGGAGGAAAATGTACTACTTACATTTTTCCTTATTGCCATTGGTATTATGCAAGAAGTCTCCATCAGAACGCGTTGTAGGAAAGTCATCTTCATCATCTTCTACCACTAAATAAAATACATTTAAGGATATTAGGATGAAAGAAAATAGAAATTAACCAAGTTATTTTTAGGTTCAATTGAGTCAATACATTCTGGATTCTTTTGAGTGCAAGATCTAATTCATTTTTGTATTTTCAGTGCTTATCAAAGTATGCCCAACAAATATGCTGTAGAATTTAATACATTATTATGAAAACTGTACACATTCTCATTTGTGTGAGGGATGGTATTAAGATATGAGTTATTTTGCCCTTTAGTCTTCCTACCTCTTCCTACCTACCTTGGGCAATCTCATAATTCCATCAGAAGCCTATAATGGCTAAGCAGGACTGTAAAAGGGTAACTTCCATGCAGAAAATACCTTAGCTTGCTTCTGGGAGTTCCTAAATTTACCATTTCTAAACATGCAGGAAAAATATAATGATTTACAGGTGTGATTATCGATTTTCATTCATCCCAGTGTGTCTGTGCCTAGAAATCCTTTTAACTTATCCAATTCTATAAAAATCAAAATCCTGTGTTCCCCTCTGTTTATCTCTTTGTTCTATTCACTTTTTTTTTACTGCCTAACATACTTTAAACTTCTGCACTATATATTGCACTTTTTTCCTTCTTTTTAATGTATTTTATTGATTTCAGAGAGGGAGAGGAAGAGAGGGAGAGAAAGAGAGAGAGAGAGAGAGAGAGAGAGAGAGAGAGAGAGAGAAACATCAATGATGAAAGAGAATCACTGATAGGCTGCCTCCTGCATGCCCCCTACTGGGGATCGTGCCCGAAACCCAGACCTGTGCCTGACCAGGAACGATACTAGTACTGTGACCTCCTGGGTCAACCCTCAACCACTAAGCCACACTAGCCAGGCTATATATTCTACTTTTAATGTAAATTTCTAAACCTCAGTCCCCAATCTTATTCTTTGCTTTCTATCAAGTGCTCTTAGTAAGGCTTCTTTATTGTATTATCTTTTCAGAAACACTCTTTTTGTAGAAATAATCTTCACTCTAAACTGTTGTACTTCTTGATTTTATCTCTTTACAAGGAGTAGCTCATCCATTTTAGTTGTCTTCCCAATAGATGCAAAGCCCATTCCTATTCCTTATTCCCTCCCTTGACTAAATGGTAGAAATCACCATGGAGAATACCTTTATTCTGTATTGCCATTTCTAACTAGTGGGCTATTTCATTTTTTTATAATTATTGGGCTAGTTCATCACTTTGAAATTTTGCTACTCATCTTTAACAACTTTTTTAAACCATAAGCTGCTATTATCTACTAACACTTAATATTCAGCCAACTGACACCAATATCTGACATTGTTTTGTCCTAGTCCATCATTCCTATAGACTTCAATATCCATAATGAAGCCTCTGCAGATACCTAAATCTCAAGATTAATCAAATCCCAAATTCTATGGATCGTTATTGTCTCATCAATCTTTTGTAGATATGGTCAATTCTAGAAATTCATTAACAGCACATTGCTGTTTTTAAATCAGTACTCATCATCAGACAAGATTCTGATCCTGATCTTGACTCTGAACTGCTCTTAACCATCTGTACGCCAAAAGCATCTACAGACACAGGTGGCAGATCTTTTTAAATTAAATTCAAAATATCGTGGCAGTTAACTGGTTAAACACTGAAAGGCTTGCACTTCACTCTTATCATCATCAGTATCTTCTTTGGATTACTGAAGATTCACTTTCATGTCCCTAACTACCCAATAGCTTGTACCACCAAACAGGGATTTTCAACCTTGTTTTTCGAGCCCAATACTCAATATATAAAACTGATGAAAACAAGAGCCTCTCTGGCTAAAGACTAGCTTTTCCCCTTTCTTTTTAACCAAGTAATCCTTTGTCCATTCTTGAGGCACCTTTAAGGGATATCACACATGGATTGAAATCACTGTTCTAATATAAATCCCTTATCTCAATCAGATCAGTTTCCCTTACCAACACAAACTGATTATGCTAAATTCCATCTCTGGATATTACACAT